ACTTAACTGTACAAGCTCAGGTAGCTGTTCCACTTTCAAATTACCCCAGGGGCTGTTCTTTCCCAGGCAGTGCTCTTTGCTGGGCTAGTGAAATCTCATGCTCTGCAAATACAGCTTAGCTTTCAGCCAAAGACTCAAGGGTCCTCTATGCAGATCTATGGAGCTGGTTCTCGGCACACTTTCTCCTCACTGGCAAGCTGCTCCGTGAGCCCCTGCCTCCCCTAACTCTAACCTTGGTCCCCTTATTCTCAGCAAGATTGCCTGTACCCTGCACTGGAGCTGGGCAAACGCCTCTCAGCTGGAGGCTGGGACAATCATAGCAATCTCATTTGCTTTTCATCCCTCAGAGATCAGCCCTTCCTTACTTACTGTCTAATTTCTGAAAAGAGTTGTTATGTTCAGACCTGTTTTCAGTGGAAGATTACTGTGGAAGAGTCAAACTGATAATATCTTGCCTTTTCTTAAGATTCATAGCAATTGGTAACTATTCAGAGTTAGTGACTCTAATATTTACCTGTTCCCACCCAAAGATGGTATCATGTCCCAACACAATACATCTAGCTTCTGGCTCCACCATGACCAGAGTGGAAGTTCTCTTTGTAATAACTCATTTGTAATTGGTCTACTTCAAACGATTTGAATTCAAACTCTTTTCTTTTTTGATAAAATATTAATATATATATATATATATGCTGTATGTATAATATATATGTGTATATATGTACAACGTTTTTGTTTGTACTAACCCGAGTTAGAACTGCTGAAGGGTTTACCTTAAATGCTTGAATGGAAATGGAATTTAATCTCAACCCCGAGCAGTTAAAAATTGGAGGTCTGCCCAGGCTATCAGATGGGCTTTGGAAATCCGCCAGCACGGAGGACCCTGCAGGTCCATAAGATTATGTGTTAATTTTCAATTACTCTGCTTTTCTGTCTTTCAGAAAAAGATTGAAAAAAAATAATTCCTGTGTTGCCTTGGAGAGAATTTCACAAATTCACACAAGCTAGCTGTTCCATGACCAGGCGGAGCCCTCATGACTGTGCTTTTCAACCAAACCCCGTTTCCTTATTTCACAGGAAGGAAGAGAATCAGTGGCGCGACTCCACGAATGGCTGGCTGCTGGCGCGACCGGTTTTATTTTGCCTCCTTTCTCAGTGTCCCCAGCACCTCTTTTGTTCTCAGCCTAAAAATACAGCAGATTGTGGCTTTTGTCATGTTACAATATTCACAGATAACAAGATGAACTCTTTATCTGGCGCCTGGTCAGAAAGCCATTTTAATACTATTCTAGAGCAACTCATCTCTTTTTAAAAAAAATATATTTTATTGATTTTTTACAGAGAGGAAGGGAGAGGGATAGAGAGTTAGAAACATCGATGAGAGAAACATGGATCAGCTGCCTCCTGCACACCCCCTACTGGGGATGTGCCCGCAACCAAGGTACACGCCCTTGACCAGAATCGAACCTGGGACCCTTCAGTCCACAGGCTGACGCTCTATCCACTGAGCCAAACCGGTTAGGGCTCATCTCTTAATTTGGTCATGTTTCTACAGCTTAGAAGTAATATTTTTACTGTGAGATCTTCTGGCCTTTAAAAACTGCTTTTCCTTCTTGTAAAGTATGTAAGTCAAAAAAGTTCTAACTGATAATATCTTGCCTTTTCTTAAGATTCATAGCAATCGGTAACTATTTAGAGTTAGTGACTCTAATATTTACCTGTTCCCACCCAAAGATGGTATCATGTCCCAACACAATACATCTTCATAAACCGAACAGAACAGAAAGCACGATTTAATCCTTGAGAGAAATGAAAATGAGGTGGGAGAAAAAGGGTCTCTTGAATTAAGCCTGTGCAAACGGAGATATGACATAATATACTTACACATACAATTTCTTTTCAGAAACGATTAAAAAAGGAAGCCTATAGCTGTGTGCCTCAGTACATCTACCTTCTCCGGGGACAGCAGACTCCCTCTTTTGGAGAACTGACCCCCACCTATTTTGGAAAACCCTTGGGTAGGTAACATGATCCAAGACGGACCAAACAGAACTTTCTTGGGGAGTTTTCAACTTGGAATAATTATCATCCCTGGGATCCTGGGACTTAGTTCGTGTGCCTCTTATGACTAGAGTTCCAGAGGAACGAGTGGGTGTAGGCAGTGATTTCTTTAAGTCTTCGGTATGATGTTGCAAGGGAGGGAGGTTGTCTGAAAGCCTGCTGCCTCAGCCCACCAAGGGTGAGATAATTAAGACATCTAGGGTTTTATGGGAGTTGCACTGTTCCAGAAACTCCACACATAAACCTCAACGCTTTGGCAGGGTGGGGTAGGGCGGCTGCCCCGTCATGGAGACAATCTGAGGCTCTGGGTGTTTCTGATACAAACGGCCAGCCAGTCCTCTCGTCCCCTTTTGGAGCCTGATCCCCACAACGGACTCTTCAGGGCTCCTCTCACCATCCGCGCAGGCTTCAGAATTTTCCAGTTTGTCAAATCAGTGACCACTCATCCATCGGCTTCGCTGGTTCCAGAATGTTGTTGCTATCGTCTCCTCATTCATTTTTCTTTGTTCTTGTGGGTTTTTGCTTTAAAAAGTCTTGACTGTCATTTTGGTGGCATTCCAAGAAGAACACAGGCGAATGTGGCTTAATATGCTGCTTCTGTTAATTCCATTCGCCCCCTTCATTAAGTTACAATTGCCCTATTTTCAGATTTCTACTTCTGCACACTGGATGTTTGGGTGCTTAAAATGTATCATTCAATCCACGGTACAAAAGGTTAATAAATCACAGAAGGACACATCTAGACTTGATCTGGACGAGCGGACATAACCCAGGTTTCTGGGACCCATCCTGTCTACAGGAGGCGGTAAGACTCCCTGGAAAGGCGTGCGTGCGTTTGCAGATGTATATGGAAAGCTGTATTATGTGAAGAAGGAAAACTCCGGAAATAGAAGCGTGTGTGGGTGTGTGTATGTGGGCATGGACATACTTTTGCACACATCTGTGTGCTGGGTAGCAAAACAGTGGTCTGCCAACAACCTCCATTATTTCTCCTTCCCAGGATCACTCTCGTCTGTTCTTAACGGTGTAACCCATCATATACACACAGGATGGGCTGTAACACAATCCTTGGAGTTTTCTCATCCACGGGAGGCACGCAGCCCTACAAGTGACAATGCTATGGACATGTGTGTGAAGCGGCACAAGTGACAATGCCAGGGACGTCTGTGGGAAGCGTCAGTGTTGAGAAGTAGCTGTTCCGCGGGAGGAGCGAAGGAAGACTGAGAGAGGCAAGAGGTGCAGGGCACCTGGTGGCGTTTCCGTGGCTTTTGTGGCCCTGGACACGTCCGCCCTTCCCTTTTTGCCTCTGTGGGTTTGTGCCTTTCTTTTCCCTTTTACTGGAGTAGGAACATGTAATATGAGATCTATCCTCTTAAATCTCTAAGGATACAGTAATGTTAACTATTAACACAGTGATATATAGGAAATCATTAGAACTTTTTCATTTTGCTGAGGAGAGAGAGAGAGAGAGAGCGAGAGAGAGAGCGAGCTTATGTTCTAGAACGAACACTGTACCATTCAACTCTGCCCAAAAGAAGTGGTTTGGCTATTCCCCTGCTAGAATTATTTCAGCAAGACTCTGGGCAAGCACTCTTACCTGGTCTTGAGTCTCCATGAGAATAACTCTGTATTATCAGGTCACTCTGATTATTAAATCCCTAAATCCTCTATTCCTGGGTAGCCATAGGGTTTCCTACTTAGCTTCTTCCTAAGGCTATTTTCCATACTTGCCTGATGAAAGAATAACCTGGAATACTTGTTAAAAGTATAGCTTCTCTGGCTCTCAGGATCCGTTGGTCCAGAGGTCCTGAGACGTAGTCCCAGATAGTTGTATTTTTAATAAGGGACCCAGGTGATTCTTCTCAACAGTCAAATTTGGGAAACCTTGCTCTAGGAGTTATGGCCAATGGGAACAAACATAGTTGATTTAAAGTATTACACAGTAAGTCCTTACTTAACGTTGTGGTTCTTGCAACTGTGGGGAAACTATGTATAATGAAACCAATTTTACTGTAGGCTGATTGACATAAACAAGACAAGTTCCGATAGCATTTCATCAATGTTATGAGGAAATGACATTGAACGAAATGATGCTATTCGAGGACCTGCTGCATATTATACATTAAGTCTAAGTGTTATTAACCAGATGACATTTCTACAGCTGAATTACTCCAAAGCAATCGGTACATGTGGTTTTCTTCGGGGAGGAGTTGGAGGGTGGGTAGGAATGCCTTTGTTGTTGTTTTTTTCCTTTCGGTGTGATGACTGTTAGAAAGAATTCTTTAATGGCTTTGCCCCTGAGGGAGTTTCTGCATTGCTCAGGTCAAGAAACAGCTTACATCAAATAGAAAGCAAGCATCTTACATTCTTTTCAGTGCTGCCTAAGAGAATTTTGGAGAAAATTAAGAAGAGAAAGGAGACACACAGTTCTAGTTCCTTGACGGTCCCTAAAGGAAACTGCTTGTATGACTAAGAGAGGGACTCATGCGTTTCAACTTAAATGTTTATGAATCATGTACAGAATGACTTAGGAGAAAATAAGGGGTTAATTTAATTTACACAGCCTAATCAGGACACAGAATCCATTTCTGACTCTCAACTTCAGTGCAAAAGTGTTGAAATTCATGATTATCAAAATGTTGTTTAATGTTTAAAAAAAAAGATCTCAAACATGCCTCATTTGTTTTGACACTATGTTCGCTGCTTGTCACAAATGCAGAGTTTCCACCTCAAGGCACCATTCAAAGCAGACTCCTTCAGTTGCTATATGTATGAGTTAGTAGGAAAATAAATAAGTAAAAAGTGGAAAATATTATTAAAAGACAGTGAAAGGAGGAGAGAGCAAGCCAGTCCTCTCTGCCCTGTGGGATCCTCTGCTTCCCCGGCCAGAGCCTGTCCCAAATCTGAGTGGTGACTGAAGCGCAAGCCGTGACACATACCTCTTGGTGGGAGTGGGCACTCCGGAGGACATGTGGCTAACCATGGTGTCATTCATGTTGGACAGAGGGCGAGGAGGGCTGAAAGAAAAGACATTGACATAATATTAATAATTACCAACGTGACTGGGAGGAACAAGTGAAAGAATGATAAGGGCGAGAGAACCGACTACCATTCCTGATAAGCACAGTGGGACCCACGGGGGTGAGGGCAGAAGTCAATCAATATCCCAGCCCGCAGTCAATTCAACCAGAAGGTTCTCGCCGAGAAGCCAGAGGACACAGAGCTCCGATGCACCAGGGGGCGCACCTCCCAGCCAGGTGCAGCTACAAAGGGTTTCTTGCCTTTGGAGCCATGGCTATTGCTAAATGCTCCTCGGGGAAATCTCTTACTGCCTCTCTGAAATGGAAAGAAGTTCTTTTAAAGAAATTTGTCCATCAAAAACAGGAAAGTAAAGCAGCAAAACCCTTCTCTTATATTTAGGTATTTTGGTAACTATCTCCTGGTTTCTCCTACCTTTAAGAGCTGAGTTAACTGGGTAAAATGTTTTTGCAGAGGTTATACTTAGCAAGTCTTGGTAAATATTAAGGGACCAGAACCTTTATTGTTTTATAGATTTCACAGTACTTTCATACATACATATGTCAGAGAGGAAGGGAGAGGGAGAGACAGAAACATCAGTGATGAAAGAGAATCATTGATCAGCTGCCTCCTGCATGCCCCGCTGGGGATCGAGCTCATAACCTGGGCATGTGCTCTTGACTGGTCTTGAACCTGGGACCCTTCAGTCCACAGGCCGATGCTCTATTCGATGAGCCACACTGGCTATGACGCACAGCACTTTCTAATAAAGGCTCCAGTGAAATTTTTTAGGTAGAGCCAAGGAACCGAGAGGAAAGGTTAAGAGGAATGGATGGATAGATCTCTACATCTATCTATCCACTTCCTTTTTAAAAAACCAATCTCATTTCTGGGTAGGGAAATCTTTTAAATAATTTCCCATTTAATGAAGAGGATCAAAGATAGAAAGTAATTTTCAGGGAACAGATTTGGGCCTCTTGGTTTTTAAGCCACAGCACTATGCTCACTGCTACACGTTCCTCCCTGTGTATGACAGGGCCATCTGTCAGACATGCAGAATTAAAGTACGCCGTTATAGCTAGACTTCGCATCGCATTACTTATCTTACTACCTGTCTTCCAGACAGATATGCACTTTCCCCCCCAAACTTTCATGCCTATTAACACTATTGGCTTTGCTGAGTTATAATAAATCAATTGTTTTAGGTTGACTAATAATGGAAATGAACGCAGAGATTGGGTTAATTTTAGTCCTAAGTTCACATTTTTGCCAGTGAGTCTCTTAATTGTCCAAATGGAACAAGGAGATAATTCCTATGAAAGAAATAAATAAAGCATCATAGCTTTTCATTCCTGAGGACACCAGAGGCATTCTGATCCTGGAAACAGAATGGACTTTGCTTCTCTGATATATTACTATTAGCAACCCATTTCCAAAATAAGATAAGGACGTGTTCATGTTGCTTTCAAAACTAATGCAGTTACATAATGTGTATCAGTGTTGAAGATACTGTATTCAATTTCCTTTCTGACATTCTCAGAGAAAAAAATGACAATAGAAAAAAATTTAATTCCTTATACATGGATCCATGTGATAAAATATCATGATCTGTAGCATTTTGTTTGATCTGATGTCTCAAAAGTCTTTAATAATCATCTCTATCTCTTGGCAAATACCATGTCCAATTATTATGTGACAGCACACATATGAAAGCCTCTTTTCTAATATTCAAAACCAGACAATAATGTAAGCTGTAAACTATTCGTTAACTGCCCCAAATTTCATACCCCTTCTGAACTTCTAGCATATTTGATAAGAAAATGGGTATGTGTTTGCAGTCCAAGATGAAAGAGACATTTGAAAACATAAAGGGGATCTTTACTACAGTATCTACCACTAGACCCATAATTCACTGTGAAAGTCAACAGCTCAGATGTTGTCTTAGGGGATTAATACACCAAAATGACTTCTGCTTTAAAAAGTCTTCACAGTTCCCGTAAGGCAGAGCTGAAAACAATGCTTCTAGGTGTGAAGACAGAAACTTACAGAGCAGAACTGACACCACTCATCGGCTCAGTCTTGTTGATCTTCTTTAACATCCAAAACCTACTGAAAAACTTCAACATGTCGCCAGATATTCGATATTTTCCTTTGGTGAAGGTCTTAGCAAAGGAGGATCACCTTACCCCAGGAAGAAAAATAAATTTCCAGGGTGTTAAAGAGCTAATGTAAATGCTAAATTATATAAATTAGGACAAAAAATATGGGTTTATGGATAGAGAGGATGTTCTAAGCTCAAAATTGATAGAAAAATTAGGAAGGAAAAGACCAATTCATTTGAAGTATTAAAAAAATCAGGATAGGGAAAAAATACAAATTTGGGGAACTATTTCAACAAACATGACAAAGCAAGAATTAACAATCTTCACACAAATTCATAAAATTATTAAGATTTCAATTACATAAATGAGCAAAGTGAAAATACACCTTTAAAAAAAAAAGACATAAAGCCCAGCCAGTGTAGCTCAGCAGTTATGCATGGACCCAGGAACCAAGAGGTCACCGGTTCAATTCCCGGTGAGGGCACATGCCTCAGTAGGGGCCCACTGATGATGTTTCTCTCTCATTGATGTTTCTATCTCTCTATCCCTCTCTCTTCCTTTCTCTCTAAAAATAAATTTTAAAATATTTTTAAAAAAGCATACAAGAAACAACATACAAGTGTTTTAATTGTACAGGTAATTTGTTAAAATTACAGACCACTTCCCTTTAAAAAATGTTTTTCCTCCCTTCTCTCTTTCTCAAAGAAAGAAAACATTTCAAATCACTCTACATGATCTCCATTACTAGACTAAGAAATTTGTGTGACTTCTTTATTGTATTTCGAGTACCTGCATATGGAGCAGGCTTTCAAGAGATATCTGCTGATCGCGAGTCACACCACGCTGACTGTGTAGAGTGTGTAAGAAGTGATCTTTCTGTGCTATTTAGCTTTGGCGAGACTATTCTCTGAGAGTAGAATAGTGACATTATTAGTTGTTATATTTGGTAGGTATATTTGTAGTATTTGCAGCCGTGGCAAGTTTCCATCTGTGACTTAGTAATGGAATCAAGAGTGGAGAGTGTCTCTAATAACAACAGCAATACTGGCTCGGTGTTCAATATGTGCCAGACTCAGTCCGAACATTTCCCATGATTCACTCAAACCTCACAACCACCAATAAGGTGGATACTATTATTATCTTTATTTTACAGATGGAGACACTAAGGCATGGAGAGAAGTAATGTACCTGTAGTTACAACCAAAATTGTGGCTGAAGTACGACTTGAATCCAAGCAAGATAGCTCTTGAGTCTGTTCTTGATTGTTACGGTGTAGAGTCTCAACTACCTTGGACTGCTGCACTTTTGGAAAAACTTACTTAAGACTGTTTTGTCCATAAATTAATAGCAGTAGCGTGATGTTCGATCATAGTTCTTGTAAAGTTGTTGCTAGGAAGGTAAAATAATAGTCCCGAGTATAGTTTTTGCGTGATTTATTCTTTCCCCTATCACACCATTAGAACTGTACTATAAAGGTCTATATGTGAACTCAAACCCTTTGCTTGCAGAACTCCCATTCTTAGCCACCTTTAGGCTGCGCCAAGGAAAACTGGACAACCTAGAATAAATTGTTTCCTTCCAGCACACCTCCCTAATTTATTACAGCGACTTTAAAATCAAATCTTAATTTCAAAGATCTTTTGGATTTCTCACTGCAGCCTAACAAAATATGTAATTTTAAAGAGCAAATTATCTATTTTATCAGCCAGCTGATTTTTTTAAAAAGTGCGACACAGGACCAACAGAGTGTAATTCCTTGTGCTGGCTTTCTACGTTGACTTAGATCCGGGGTAAACACCTTCTGGATAAAACTCTGTGGCTAACCAAGAATGTGAAAGTATAATATTGTTGTTGTTTCAACAAAATTTCTACTTAAAAATTGTAAGTGAATAAAGGGCGACACGAACAAAGCCAGCGCTGAAGGCTGAGTGGAAAGGTGAGATCTTGGGCACCTGTGAGGATTGTCACTTTTCCATAAGCCCTTGGACAAACCTCTTCTGTAAAAAGTCATCCAGATGGGCAGATACTCCTACCCTACACTTTTAATATGTATATGTATATGTATATGTATATGTATATGTATATGTATATGTATATGTATGTGTATGTGTATGTGTATGTGTATGTGTATGTGTATGTGTATGTGTATGTGTGTGTGTGCGTGTGTGTGTGTATGTATATATTGATTTCAGAGAGGATGGGAAAGGAAGGGAGAGAGAGATAGGAGCATCAATGATGAGAGAGAACCACCTACCGGCTGCCTCCTGCACACCCGCTACAGGGGATTGAGCCCACAACCTGTGCATGTGTCCTGACTGGGAATCAAACCATGACCTCCTGGTTCATAAGTTGACACTCAACCACTGAGGCACACCAGCCAGGCCCTATCCTATACTTTTAAAAGTATTTGCTCATTATCCTGCTCTTCTTCCAAGACTATTTTTTTTGTAGAGGTTAAGATTCTGCAATTCTCTTTTACCTTGACAGCTGCCAATCACACGCTTGGGAACTCTTTACCAGATGTTTTGGTCTGTTTATTACTGTTAGTATAAAAGGGGAAAAGGTTTTATTATGCCTAATGCTTTCAGTTACTTGATTCCTTTTCTGTATTGCCCACAACAATGCTTTACAATGAGGTACTTAATCATTTTAGTTAAATACATTTAATCACTTAAGATTTTTGCAGCCAAATATTTTTATTTTGTCTTCAATCCTAGATACCTGTGTGGCTTCTGAAATTACCTTCCCTGCTTACTTTGATCATACTTTTCTCATCTTTAAGGTTATGTAGCAGATCTCACCATACTTTAAGACAAAGTCAAAACCCACACTGTAGACAACTTTATTCTTTTACCTATTAAACTACTTAGGTCTTCCACATCTTTCAAACAAATTGT